TTATTAAGTTTAAGTATGAGCTTTTTACAATAAAAAAATTGTATGTTTTTTTCAGAAATATACATGGTTTTCTAAACCGTTTTTATTTCAAATTAAAAAAAAAATGTTTTTTTATAATACCAGTAATACGTATCAGATTGATACTATCAATGTTGTTAATTAATTCATAAATATGTTTTATTTCATTAAAACCCATAAATCCAATGTATTTGCTTAACATGCTAAATCCTGAAGGTAAAAGGCCCGCAGCAGCCTGGTTTATGTATGCAGGACTAAAAAATTAATCAGGCTTAACAATTAATAGGCCTTTTAATCGGAATTAATTTTATCGACTGCAATAAATCCTATTGCCCGTGGATTTTTCAATAAAAGTCCTGGTACCCTGCATGTGCAGGAGCAGATCCTGCTTGGCCAAAGTGCACTAGATTAACGAAAATACCGATGCACAGTGTGACCATTCACGAAAGTGAGTATCCAAAATTATATTTGTGAAAAATGTTGAAGCAAATATTTTTTTTATAATTAGATAGCAGACAATTTTTTACTTTTACTAACTTAATTATTAAAATTAATTAATATTTTAAGATGTGTGAATACTAATTTTTAAATCGTATTTTCACGATAAAAGTATACAGTGCCGAGTATTTATATTTATATATATATATATATATATATAGCAAAAATAATTTATCAGGGCTGTATTTCACAAAATTAATATAAACTGCGCACCACTCAATGTGTCGCGACCAAAAAGTTCGTTCTTTTTCAAAACGACATAACTTTTTTGTTTCTTGAACAATTTTATTTTGGTCTGTGATGTCTGCTAGCCTCATCCTCTGGCAATGCATGCTATAGATATAAAGCTCACGGTTGGTCAAGTAAATTTCCTACAGGGGGATATGTTAAACGGTGAAAAATTTCAATAACTTCATCCAAGCCCCGTTTGTAAAAAAATAATTTTTTTCTCGTTTTTATTTTGAAATAATGAAGTATTATGTGTTACCTTGAAACGTTTTTCAAGTTTTTCGAATTGGAATCTTAGCAACGACGATATTTTTTTTTTTTCGGATTTTATTAAGACAAAGACAAACTTAAATTTGACAACTGAATCACAATCAGGAGGTCAAAATTATAAAGAAAACATGTCACGAACGAACCAAAATGTCATTTTGAAAAAGTGGTCTTTACTTAGGCCCCTTTGAAAATAATGGAAGTTTGTTGCTTGTCGCTTGTTCAGAATTATTAAAGGAACAATCTTTTACCATCTTATTTTCTTGTTCTTAAAAAAACTGAGTGTATTAAATAATAAAAGGTTGGCCTCAAATTCACCTACAACTTAAAAATTAATACTGACTTTTTGTAAAAAAAATCAGATTTTCGTTGCTAATATTCCAATTCGAAAAATTTGAAAATCTTTTAAAGGTAAGACTTAATTCTTTATTATTTCAAAGAAAAAACGAGAAAAAATGTTTCTTTTTTCAAACGGGGCTTGGATGAACTTATTGAAATTTTTCACCGTTTTACATATCACCCTGTAGGAAATTTACTTGAAGAACCGTGGGCTTAATATCTATAGCATGAATTGCCAGAGGATGGGGTTAGCACACATCACAGACCAAAATAAAATCGTTCAAGAAAAAGGACGAACTTTTTGGTCGCGACACATTGAGTGGTGCGTAGTTTAGTAAAAAGTTGATATTTTTTATTATTAATTTTTAACTTGTTACTAATGAACTTATATTAACTTTATAAAGCATACTGATCTTGGAAGTATTTGACCAGCGTTTGGAAGTATTTGACCGATCTTTCTTGGGGCGCCCCAAGAAAGATCGGTCAAATACTTTCATACGCCAAACCAAAAATAGAGTTGGAAGCACAAGGGGTTTACGAAATTCCTTGTAAGAATTGTGACGGAAGCTACGTGGGACAGACCAATAGACGTATCAACGTTCGACGCGAAGAACATCGTAACGCAGTCTTAAAACAAGAAAAAACATCTTCCTTAGCTGAACAGGTCCGAAAAACTTCCCATGAAATTGACATTGAAAAAACAAGGCTAAGAAGCTAGCATCCAACACAGGACCAAACAGACCATCTGTGAAGCCATTGAAGCAACAGCAGCCCAGCAGATAAGACCTGAAGATGGTACATGAGATTGTTCCGAAACGTCGTCAGATATACGGTTCTTTTAAGAACCAAAAACCGACAACACGGAGCAGATCCCGAAAAACCGCTAATACATATATATGTATATATATATATATATATATATATATATATATATGTATATATAGCATAAATAAAGATTATTATTATTACTCTTCATTTTTAATGCCATATTTTTTTATAATTTATAATTTTCGGGATACAGGTTGTTCAAGTTTTTGAAAAAATGTTGATATACCTAGTTAGTAAAATGACATTTTTTAAAGTGTTGTCAATTCTTGAAACTTTTTTTATCTTCAAGCGTTATTATTCTCAACACTCATTAGCAAAGTGATTGATTATCGCCACGCTGTAAAATTAATTTAGACCAATTAAGTAAAGTTTTTTTACCTCCTATATATAGTAAGTGGTAAAAAAACCATTCAAAATATACCTAACCTCACTTTCTACTTTTAATAATTACACAGCCACACAAAATTTTTTTTTTGTTTTGATCTGGGGGTCTGACCATATTTCTTTTATGTTTTTGGGGTCGCTGAATCCGAATCCAAGGTCTATTTAACCCCATCACATCAGGATTTTGACATAACCTCAAAAAATCTATAATTTAAGCTATTAAACGCATATAACCCTAAACATTAAGTTGTTGTCTAAAAACCCAAGCTCCTAAACCCTATAAGCCTAAAACTCACTTAACTCCATAACCCCATGACCCACTTAACCCCACCATCTATTTAAACATATAATCCTTAGGATGAAATTGTGATCTGAAAACCCAAGCTATTAAACCCAATAACCATTTTAACCCCATCCCATAAACCACTTAAACCTTTTAACCCATTTAACCCCATCAACATCAATTCCAACAGTTCCGTATCTCAGACATTTAGCTTTGAAGAGACTAAAGTTATGCGGTTATTAAAATAACGTACATATTAAGTTAAATATCTGACAAACGTGGTTGATGTACATAGAGTTATGAAGTTAAATGGGTTATGGGGTTATGGAGTTATGTGAGTTATGAAGTTGTGATATTTAAGAGCTTGGATTTTTATATGAAAACCACATTCTCAGGGTTATATATAGTAATAGCTTATATGATGGGTTTTTTAAGGTTATGGCAAAATCCTGATGTGATGGGGTTAAATAGACCTCGGATTCGGATTCAGCGACCCCAAAAATATATAGAAAATATGGTCAGGCCCCCAGATCAAAACACAAATTTTTTTTTGTGTTTTGATCTGGGGGTCTGACCATATTTCTTTTATGTTTTTGGGGTCGCTGAATCCGAATCCAATGTCTATTTAATCCCATCACATCAGGATTTTGACATAACCTCAAAAAATCTATAATTTAAGCTATTAAACGCATATAACCCTAAATATTAAGTTGTTATCTAAAAACCAAAGCTTCTAAACACTATAAGCCTAAAACTCACTTAACCCCATAACCCCATGACCCACTTAACCCCATCATCTATTTAAACATATAATCCTTAGGATGAAATTGTGATCTGAAAACCCAAGCTATTAAACCCAATAACCATTTTAACCCCATCCCATAAACCACTTAATCCCATAACCTTGTAACCCATTTAACCCCATCAACATAAATTCCAACAGTTACGTATGTCAGACATTTAGCTTTGAAGAGACTAAAGTTATGCGGTTATTAAAATAACGTACATATTAAGTTAAATATCTGACAAACGTGGTTGATGTACATTGAGTTATGAGGTTAAATGGGTTATGGGGTTATGGATTTATGTGAGTTATAAAGTTGTGATATTTAAGAGCTTGGATTTTTATATTAAAACCACATTCTCGGGGGTATATATAGTAATAGCTTATATGATGGGTTTTTTAAGGTTATGGCAAAATCCTGATGTGATGGGGTTAAATAGACCTCGGATTCGGATTCAGCGACCCCAAAAATATATAGAAAATATGGTCAGGCCCCCAGATCAGAACACAATTTTTTTTTTGTGTGGCTGTGTTATTATTATTATTAAATTAGTATGTTTTATGTATCCTTTAACAAAGAAAATTAGGCCTCGAAGATAATAGTTATTTATGTCATAAGGCTGAAAAGTCAGTATTTTTGTGCTGAGCTCAAAGTTTTGAGTCCGACTCGTTAGAGGAGGCATACAATTGAGCGAAGCACAAAAAGACGCGTCTCAGCCGACTGGCATACTTTATCTTCAAGGCGCAGCAGTGTCGCAACAATTCAACTTTAGAATAAGGGGAGATGACGAGTTACAAATTTTGCGCAAAACCTTTTTTTTATAAAAAAACTCTCCTAGGAAATTACGGATAATTGGTAATCGTAGTACATATATACGTACATGCTTATTAACTAAAATAATACAATGCAATTTTAATCTTGTTTATTACGCTAATGATTAAGTCCAAATCTGTATAAATTTTAAAAGAAGATTTTTGAATTTTTTCCTCTTCTACCCAACCGGTCGGCCAGGGTCCACAGTATCAACGCCAGCACGAAAATACTCACTTCTCAGCCTTAGGACATAAATAAATATTACGTATACCTACTTTATAGCTTACCAAAATGGCGGTTATTTTTTGTAAAAATAAAAAATCCGGAATTTTTTTTGTTGATTATTATAAAAGAAGGCGTTATTAATAATATTACATTATTTTTAGGACTACAAATTTGATATATAAATAAAAAACACGGAGTTGGCCACAGTGTGGCGCGTACGCGTGTATTTCACCCTCCTGTGCTTTGACTGGCTTGCAAATGCTCTGCAAAATGCTGTGCTCGTGCTGCATACAATAGAGGGACAAACATCATGGGGTCCTCCTGCTCCTGCCTGCCACTGTCTGCGATTCCTGCTACCGCACTCGTAGTCCACTGAAAACGTCTTCAGTTCCGTGCGTTTCATTCAACGTCTGTCCGCGTAGGGTACAAGAAGACGTTCTTCGCTTACTTGTCTCTCCTCCATCCAGTTCACTTGATTCTAGACGCACTTTTCCACGCCGCGTTCACTGCGATTTTTTGTTCGCGCGCTCACTGTGATTTAAATAATTTTTTTTTGTGTTTTGTGCTTTGTGTGCATGACATTAAATCATGAAGGCGATTTATTTCTACGGTTGCTTGACGGTGGTAAGTTGAGTTTATCATTTATTAACATAATGTAATTGGATTATTTAATATACATTCAAATATTCAGAAACTGTTTTTTGTCGCCAGAATTTATCGAACTAATTATGTTTCATGTTTGTTAGTAAATATATCAAATGCTGTTTTTTAATGGTAATAAAATAATGGTACTAATATAATTTTTATTTGAATAATAAACTAAAAGTACAATGGTATTTTATTAGAAAAATGTGTGGAAATTGAAAAATATAAAATATTTTTTACTGTCAATTTAAAATTTACTTTGGAAATTGAATTATAAAAAACAATGTATGTAAATTAAGTAAATACGGACATTGGTTTTGTATTTGTTATTAAATCTTTAAAAAACATAATTTTTAATTAAATTTCTTTATACACATTTGAAAATGGTTTCTTAAACAATACACAAATTGTTTATTTATTTAAAAATTTAGCACTTGCTGCAAAAATCCTTTATTTTGATAACTCAAACAAGGAACCACTTATAATATAATATAAAATTAGATCTAACAGAACAATACTTCAAAACTCCTACGCTATGATTATTTATGTTTATATTAAATAATTTTTGCAAATTGTACCGAAGCGATTCTCACGGTTATTTAATAAATGGAAATGGAACTTAAAACAAACAGAATGACAGGACGACCTGCAAGACAAAATAATTATAAGTCTACGCTTAATTTAAATATTATAAGGTGGAAGAAAATTAATTTTAATTTATCGGTCAAGCATTATTTCTAACAAGCTGTTATTAAAAGAAAATGTGTCTTCAAGCGTTCTATAATTTATAAGCTTTATTATTGTCAACGTGTACTACCAAAGTATTAACATTTGTAATGATCTAGTTTAATTATTCCAAATAAAGTAACAAATTAACTTATAAACCCAATTTACAAAAAACATTTAATCCTTTACAAATATAGACTGAGTCCGTTATTAAGTAACAGAATAATAGTACAGAGGCGTTTGTTTATAATATATTATTCATTAATAAGCAATTTATATGCATAATGTATTACAGTGCTTAGTTTGAAACGTACATGTTTTTTTAATTTTCAGACCCATATTAATATATCTTAAAAGAAAAAAAGTAAAAGACATTTTTGTAGGAAATTTAGTCTTCAACAAAAAAAATTACATTTAAGTCGAATCCCTAATATCAATCTTTCAGAAGATATATGAACTCATTTTATTTGTTAGGTACCAAAAACAGGATTTTTAATAGGGAATGAAAAAAAAACCATTTTTGTTTCAAACGCACCATTTTAATAATATAGTATACAAAGAGAAAGAAAGAAAAACTGTATATAAATCGCATTAGCACATTTTCTAGGAGCGCCACCGTTTTATTATGCTATTTAGACTGTAAAAAGTTCGATTATGGTACAAAGTATAACGTTTTTTAATTAATAAAAAATAAGAAAATAATATGTTATTATTTTTTTATTAAACGTAATGGATACTATATATTTATATTATTAACATGTTTTCCAAGAACTCTAAGATTTATATGCTATTTTTGTACAGTACAATACATGGTTTAGGTTGTATACAGTGCATTGTTATATTTACACCTGCCTGTAACTGAATAGTTTTTTAAGTAAATATTTGACAATGAAAACTATTGTTTAGATACTGCCCATTTTTACCTGCATATTTTAACGTAAATAAAGAAATTTATTTGTCAAAAAACACTATCATAAAGAAAATCTAACTGTTAACTACAATAATGTAGTTTAAGTTGCCCACACATGACAATTTGTATTAGCACATTGCTCTAAATATTAAACGCAAAAATAATTCGCAAATTGTACAAATTAATAAAACATTAATAATATTATGCTTTACTTTTAATATAATTACCAAGTAATATGTCAGATTTAATTTATAATAAAAAGTGACCGCCTGTAAACTATAGGATAGAAAAGTTACCTATAATTATAATTACTAAAATCCACGATAGAGCATCATACGTATTTAGGCTCACGACTATTATGCTAATATAATAAGAGATAAATAGATAAAATTTTATCTATGGATTAATCCACGCATTTAACGAAAATAACCTTTTTAACATTACATTTTAATTGTTTCGTAGATATAAAAAAATAATGTTGTACGACATGAATCTACAACTTGTTTTTCATTCACACAATTAGCCTTCTAAAGTCTAACTTAAAACTATACTTAATTACCATCAATCGGCTTAAAAAAACAATGGGAACGAGGCAGTATGGGAATTTTTCTTCTTTAAAAAACTTTTGTGTATGCACCAAGATTCATTCATAATTATCTACTGCACTTTTCTTAATCCCCTTTGAAAATCTTGCTTTACACGTTAAAATAAAAAAAGTAAATAACATTTTTGTAGAAACTTTAGTATTTTACAAAAAAGTAGATAAGTCGAATCTCTAAAATTAATATTTAAAAAAATAAATGAAATAAAAGTAATCCAAATAAAAAAAATTCAAAATGTAAGGATTAATGGTTTTATACTTAAACAATATTCATATTAATAATATAATTTAAGCTTTATTATTATGATAATCATATTATCAATACCAAAGTACCTCCTAGGCTGTAAAAATAATGTAGACCAATCAGGTAAAGTTTTTTACATCCTAGTCTGTAAAAAAATCGATAACTGTGACAACTCTGAAGCTATATAACCGCACTTTATACTTTTAATAATTATTATTACAAAAATACTTTTTATTATTATTATTTTTGTGCTCAGCTTAAAGTTTACTTCTTAGTCATAAGTTATTAAATAAATAACTACTTTTCGATTCATTTTATTTGTTAGGTGAAAATAGTATATTATGTATCAAGTTTGATAAACGCCATTTTAATCACGAATCGCTTGCGAGCGAGTATTTAATTAAATTAGTGCCTAGAAAAGTTTATAAAAATTAATTAGTCAAAAATGACTAAAGTTATTAGTGGCTGCTTTTTCACTTGTACCATGGTTAACCACGGGATACCATGGTATCCCAAATTTTAATAGTCAATTCTTATGTAAAATTGTCCCCTGAATCTGAAAATACCGTAAAAAATTATGAAAGTAGAGCAGTTTTTGAGATATAGTCAATTCCATATTAAATGGAAAATTGACTATATCTCTGTTCTACTGTTCTACTTTTTTTAACTTTTGGGGACAAATTTACATAATAATCGGCTGTTAAATTTTGGGATACCATGGGATCCCATGGTTAACCATGGTACAAGTGAAAAAGCAGCCATGGTAAGTGCACTTATAACTGTAGTAATTAGTCATTTTAGTATTTAAATACTTTTAATTATATAAAAATGATTTAAATTAAATATCTTTATAGAGCGACAACTATAAAAAATAAGATAAGTCATTAAAAATTCCTAACTTGGGAATCTGTATTACCGACGCGCTGGTCAGTGAAAGTGAAGGTAATGTTTTATGGGCACTTCACGTTGGAGTCTCCACCCGATAATTTTAATGCTTTATTAGTAGGGATGGGATTTTAGTTATTTTACCTTTTTTCAACCGATGTAACTATTTGAAAACCAATAATGCCAAAATGTGTTTTAAAAGATTTTCTTTTATATGAACCTAACTTGTTTTCACCTTTTTTACCTTTTTTGGAGGTTTTTGCCTTAAACTACCTTTTTATACTTTTGTTACCTATTTTTTTAAATTGTTTTCACCTTTTTTACCTTTTTTGGAGGTTTTTGCTTTAAACTACCTTTTTATACTTTTGTTACCTATTTTTTAATTTGTTAGTTTATTTTCACCTGTTTGTTATAGTCACGGCCAAATCTGTATGGGTGCACGTCATCAACGGCATATGACGTCAGCGTTAAGGTCTATTCATACGTGCCCAGACACAATCTAACGCTCGTGTATTGTTGACTGTTTATAGCGGTGGGGTCTGTTATTAAGATGGAATTATAACGTCCTTGTTATAATCTTCTGCACTAACTAATTAGGAGTTTGTTACAGGCAAATTTTTATTAAATGTGTTTAAAGAGAAAACAAACGGAGTTTATTACATTTTTATTACATATGCACATAACAAAAAAATTCTGAATTATCAGAAACACAAAATATATAAATTACCAGTCGTCCTTGTCATCAGAGCAAACCAGGTCAGAATTGAAGTCTGATTATTTCCCCAAATTTATTATTAAGGGCGCAATGTCTTCGAAATCTAATAACGGCTAGTTGCCAACAAGCCTTATATCATTGTTTGCACAATCCAGGGATAGAATCTTATAAACATAATGTATAATATTATAATAATTTGCAACAAACGATGCTTCCGGACGAAATGTCACAATTACAAAAATACGTCAAATATAAAATGACAGCGACCCATCAATAATATTGAACGGTGCGCGCCAGCCTTAAGCTATTACCAACTGGCACACACAAAAATTACTAAGTGAATGGTTTTATTTTGATAATTTCGTGAAAAAACGTTTTAAAACAAGAAAATTGTTACAGTTCTTGGTAAACAATACGCAAATAAATGATTTCTTTTTAATAACACATCAGAATTACGCCTTAAAAAAGCAAATTTAACGGCAGTAACTTTACAATTCAAAGTTGGTAATGCTGACGTCATTATATCTCATTGATGACGTGCACCCATATAGATTTGGCCGTGACTATACCTATTTTTACGTATTTTTACTTATTTTATTTTTTTGTTTTCTTTTTAAACTTTGCGCCAATATTTTATCCAGTTCCTTATAGCTTTAATTAACTATTGGTCAGTTTATAAAAAAAATATTTTACGTTACTTATTTTATAAAAATAAACGAAACTTGAACTTTTAATGTTTTTTTTTTACCTAAAATGCTGTTTTTATTAACCTAAAATGCTTTTTTTTAGTACCTTTTTAGTTAACTATTTTTCAGTTTTTAGTACCTAAATATCCCATCCCTATTTATTAGTTAAATCTAGTTTACCGCCGGCGAAAGGTCAGTACAAACGTGCATAT